ATCTAAAACCTGCAGGGACACCGGCCCTCGTGGACTGAGATTGGGGACCCCTGGTTTATGGAGTGGCTGTTTGGTTTCTCCAGTGTAGAGGTCTGAGCACTCCTCGCTGCACTGCACTACATATTTAGCTTGCGTTTTAGAGTTTTGTCCTTGGGATGAACCAGTTTTTGTCTGAGAGTGTGGCTGGGTCTGAAGTGTACTGGGATGTCATGCTCGGAGAAAATTCGCCTATGTCAAAGCATAAAGCGCTTTGAGTTCTCAGGTAGACCAGAAAAGCACTATAGAAGAAGAACTAGTCTGTTTACCATTCATCACATTTTTATCAATGATTTTCTAAAACTTTGATTCTGATGTGAAAGAACGTGTTTCGGTAGGCAGAGCCAGCCATAGTTATTATCTGCTTGGCTTCAGTTTTCAAAGAGTTGGTGAAAAAGGGAAGGCAAGATAAAGCAAAGCATGGACAGTTCACCATTTACCATGCATTTAACATCTAAACTTCACCTTGTTCTCAGCATGGCAGTTTTATAGTTGTCAGTTTTATGTTTTAAAGAACATACTGAAGAAACTATTTAGAAAAATGAGAACAATTCTGGTGCAGGTCTTTGCACCTGACACAGAGCCGTATTTAGCCATGTTTGCAGCCAGTGTAACACAATGTCCCTGCAGTGCATTGCGCCACGGCTGCTGTGTGCGTCAGAGCGGGGCTTGGCATTTGCATCTTCGTTCGGCGTCAAGGTAGTAAACACTTTTATTGTTGACTATCTCAAAGGTAAATAATGCAGCACAAATTGTTGTCCACTCAATCCTTTGATGTTGGTCGATACAAAATCAGACAAAAGTTTAAGTCGTGACCAAAATCCAACCTTAGCCTAGCATAATGTTCCTTTGATATTTAAATAATATGATAGCAGGTAAAGCCTGACGCCGTGTACTGAACTACTAGCTGGTACAGTTACAAAAAGGATGATAAGCAGTAAACAACCATAGATTTAGTATGCAGTTTTTTTGTCTGCCTGTATTTTGAAACAAGAGGCTTGAATGATAACTTAAAGTCTGACTAATGATTGCACTTGTTTCAATAGGATAAGGTTTTACTATCGACGAATGACATTAAGTGACCCGTGTACCCAAACTCCAGGACACACGAATGCAGTTAAGAGTGTGTAAACAAAGCGTGGAGAGTTCTGCCAACAGGAGGGGAAATGTGCTGTTATTTGATGCTCCTGCAGGATGTCCCAATAGAGAAACACTGTGCTCTTAAACGAGCGCCCTGTGGCCCTAAAGGCAGGGGATCTTTTGTTTGTGATGTCAAAAATAGCACAAAGAATCAGAACTATTCTTCGCTCTGTTTTTTTTTTTTTTTACATGTTTCTATTTAGCTTTTTGTGAATCTTTCTAACCTTTGCAGCAATCCTGAATATCTGAAGCCAAACTTCTTAAGTGGCAAATAAAGCAGTTTTGAACTTCTCACCTGAGCCACAACAGCTTCGACAGACTTGAATCTTTTGTAGTAGAGGTAGTCAGCACGAACGTGGAGGAGGCAGGTGGTCTTTGACTCATCCAGAGTTCTCCTCGCCCGGCTCACTGGTGCCTCCTGTGGATAAAAATGCAAGGACGTGATGCAGAAGAAAACAAACCGATGGGAGACTGATTTGAAGTTTGTTATTCTCTGTAGCAAATAATCAACAGAATGTACTGAAATTACAGATCTGATTCAGGGAGAAAGATGTCATGAAGTGGCAAAAACTGCACATACACGAGTTTAAGAAAATGAAAGCAGATGAAAGTGAGACTTTCTTAAAAGTAAATGTTGACACAGAGCTCGTACTCATGACCTAGTGGGAGCGGGGACAGGTAGTGGCAGGAGCACAACTTGGATGCTTAAATGGGAAAAACATCTGTTGAGAACATCTCATGACCAAACAGTTGAAGTGATGTCTGACAGGAGGTATGTTGTTAAAAATGGATTCATATTAATGTCCCAACATTCTCTGTTGACAATAGACCTTGAGAGCACCACCCACTTGGTCAAAGGTTAACAATTATCCACGTGCCCATGGGAAATATTAGATTAATTGATACAGCAGATGTTTATAAAAGCTGTTTTTATCATTTTACAGCCAAGGTCGCCTGTGAGACGGCCGCTCGGCTCCCTGCTGGTCATCACGCTACCGGCGGTGTGATAACAGCCTTCTGGAGTTATAAACAGCAACTTACCCGGTGACTCACGAGGCCCAATAAAAGTGAATGAATGGTCAGTTATAAAAGATGAATCAGACACATCTGACAACAGTTATAGGATTGGCTATAAATAAAGATTACAAAGGAGGAAAGTGGAGGAAAGTGGATACAGTAGATCCTTCATTCAGTTTATGTCTGGATGATCATACCTGACTGGATCGGAGGTTTTGGGCGAGGACGTTTAGAGTTTTTGCAGCACAGAATCCATCGGGGGCAGACGTCATGTATGACAGAGCTAGTAACAAACACAGATATTTACAGTCACAAAAATACTGAATCTGCACTGTTCTTCTACTTCGCCTTTAGCCAAATACACAGAAAGTTGCAGGTTGCCAAGCCAATGAGTGACGCTCGTCCTTGAGCACGTTTATTCATGTTGCTTTCTCTGCAGTCACGCTAAATAACTGAGCAGAGATCAAAGGCTTGCTCCACCTGCAACTATTCAAATTTACTGGAACAAAAGAGACATTTAGAAAGATCAAAATAAACACATGATGCGATGTACTCGTCGGCCACAGTGTGATCTTTGGAA